GGCCGGGGATAATACAATTTAAGAATATATATGGACTAGTCATGCACAACTCGGGTGGTAGATTATAAGGTGTAAGAAAGACAGGCCAACATGAATACGGTATCGCAGATACAGAAAAAGGCGTGAAGCCATCCGCACACAGACCTAACCGAATGTTCCTTGGTTCACTAGCAAAATATGGATACGTCCTATCAAAGTGCTTCCAAGCTTCTCCATCTGAAGGATGGCACATAACACCAGGTGGTCTTCTATTTTCAAAGTGCCATCTCATATGAGGAGCAGAACTCATCGATGCATATAACCTCTTTAGCCTAGGTATAAGAGGTAAATAATGCATCGCCTTGATAGCGACCATCTTCCCGCTGGAAAGCCTCTTGAAACGAGGCTTTCCGCAAAATTTACAAATGCTTAAATTTGCATCATCTTTATAATATAACATGCAACCATCTTCACAACAATCAATTCTCATTGACGAAAGTCCTAACTTAGAAACTAATCTCTTTGCCTTATAGAAATCACCAGGTAATTCGATTTCCTCGCCAACTAGTTCACGCATAAGGTCAATGACAGATTCCATGGCTCCTTGAGAAATACTCCAATCAGATTTCATACTTAGTAATCTAACTGCAACAGACAACTCAGAGTGCGGACGACCTTCACGTAGTGGACGACTAGCTTCCTCTAACTGTTCATAAAAACGTTTTGCTTCATCATTAGGAGTTTGTTCAACATTTTCGTTGGGCTCACCCCCAAAGTGCATTCTAAAAGCATTCGCAACCATATCATGAATTCTGGAATCACTATTTCTATTCTCCCTCGACCTACTACTTTCACCAAGAACCATGTTATGAAATATCCCATCGCTACCATCCATCTCTCCATGATAAGTCCACACAAAGTAATTCGCTATAAACCCCTTCATATAAAGATGAACCTTAACTTCCTCCGGTTTTCCAAACTTCATACAGTCGCACTTAACACAAGGGCACCTAATTACTCCTTCTTTTATGTATGGCGGAAGTGACATTGCATGTCTAATAAAGTCCTCAACCCCTTCTACAAAATCCTCCCGCAATCCCCGCCGATTAGGATAATTACTATTGTACATCCAAGAACGATGTTCCATCTATTTAAATAAAGCAAGAACAAATTAAATTAGTTAATACATTAATAAACTCCTCCCTTTAAATCTTTTTTCTTATCTTATAAATGTATAATTCATAGTTTAAAGCATGAATTTAGGTACTCTTATTTAGGTATTGCTCCTCTTCTAAGACAATGAATTGTATCTTTTCACAATTGAACTCAATATAAGTAAAAAGCTAATAGGCAAAAAAAACAACCCTAATACTAAATAGTAAAAATTTCATATACCTAATGTAGTTCATATTAGCTAATAGTAAAAAGTTCATATTACCTAATGTAGTTCAAACAAACAACCCTAATGTAAAAAGTTCATATTACCTAATGTAGTTCAAACAAACAACCCTAATACTAAATAGGCAAAAACTCTAACAAATTACATAAAATTATATAGCAAAATTTAAAAATTAAAAAGCTAATAGGTAGATTACTAACCTTGGTAGATTAAAAGGAGGCTAAAATCAGTGGGGGCGGCGGAACAGTGGTGGCGGCGTTGACAGTGGTGGTGGCGGACAGTGGTGGTGGCGGCGTAACAGTGGTGGCTGCGGCGGTGACAGTGGTGGCAACGGGTGGGGGGGATTGATTTGTGTAAGGGAAATAGAGAAGGGGAGGAGAAATAGTTGAGAGAGAAGTTGGGAAATTTGTGTGAGAGAAAATAAGATTTTGGGAGGGGAAACCCGAT